GGGGGGGAGGTGTCACTAATTTGGACAATGCCGGACAAGGGGGAGAGGGGGCCTGAAAATCCATCATTTTGGCGGACATCCTTTGTGAATGGCCCCTTAGTAGAGAATGAAAGCAAGTCAAGGGGAATTTACTTTACGTTGGCGTTAAGGTTATACAAGAAAGCATGCAAACCCACGACGAATTCTTACGTGGACATTAAGCCAAGTATGATGATATAATTGTACTGACAATATTTTATTTGTATGTCGATTTGCCTGGATATGACAATTGGCCAATTCGTTTTTCTTTCTTGACATGCATATCCTTTTGGTACATTGTCATGCATGGATGTGTAAAAATTTTATAGATTGCATCCTCCCCGTTGTTAGAGTTACAAAAATCGAACTTTATTCGGAAATTTCAGAATGCAGCACGAGAATCAAACACACCCCAACTGGCAGTGTTTATGCTTGAACAACTGTTCTTCGTACACTTTCTATGTTGAATGGGCATTAAATTTCACTGAAATAGTGATCACAATATTACGCTAAATGCATTTCTAACGTTGGTGTTTATGTGAGTTATATATAAAGATAGTCCACGCAGTAATAATTAATGTCAGTCCGTGTTTACATGATTAAACTCATGGATGATAAAATATGATTGGAAGGGAAACGTAAAATCGCATGTGGTACTTCATGTTTGTTGATTGGATCAGAAATTTGAAGAACTACTCTTGACTAATAAGCAACCTGAAATGATTTTGCAGTGAAATTACGAGTGGTTTAGCTTTGTTTTAGAAGTATGATGTTTTTGCACTTTTTCTGTATTCGATTCTGTCGGCCGAATGAGAAACGAAAAACAACTCACCAAGCGAAAACATCGCAGTAAAGGTACACGTTGTTTGTTCTTATTTGATGCCTTTATTTTTGAGTAGTAAGTCGTGTGCAAGGAATATAACTTTTTTTATGATTTTTAGCATATATTATGAACAGGACTTAATTTAAACGGTTTTATTTAAACATGCAATTTTATAATTAAGTGCATACCCAATTTGCTCTTATTTGAAAATATAAATGTCCAGTGACTGTTGAAATTCATAATTTCTCATCAAGTTGATCATCATTTCACCATCAAGCTTTCTATCCAGTCATTTTATTATTCATGATTAAATCATCTGTCCTGTAAGAACTCCTTAATTAGTTGCAGTGTGAACAAATTCTGGAGTTTAAAAGAAAAAAAGTACGGTTTTTACGCTCTTAGGTAACTAGACAATAACTATTTTTAGACCAGCTTATTTAAATGGAAATTTCCGGCATGCTACAGCAAATTTATAATGAAAGTATTATAATAATTTAACTTCATTGAAGTACATCGCGTGGGTGGGCCACCTGCATGAAAACTCACATAAACACCTTAAATAATAAAATTTGCAGTCCAATATTGATCATCGTATGCGTGATATCAGTAACAATCAACACCCACATCCCAATCATGGAGGCAGTTAACCACATTCCATCCATCGTGACTGCATTCCCATATGTATGATTCGCTACCAGTGCATCGAATGTTGTTAAGCAATGTTGGACCACTTCCTGCGCCATAGTAAGCATTCTCCCTTGTCGCACTCACTCCAGTGAAACCCAACTGACGACAGATAACGCCACCTTCCTTATTAGTCCAGGGCCATAAACCAGGTACACCACAGGCAGTACCCCAGCCGAAAGAAGGATGATATATTTCGACTGTTCCGGTTTTGTTGTTCTTTGTATTTACCAACCTGATCTGCAGATCTGCGTAAGCTATAACAAAAATATTGAATGTGATTTCAGCAGGTAAAATTTGTGTTCATAACATGCTACTTCGCAAAAATGAATTCATCGTACAGTACTTGCAGGTAATTAATTTATAAGTAAAATAAATAATAACGAAATTAATTAGGTATATTGTACAGGGTGTCCCAAAAAAAGTGACACTATAGAAATTATCCTATTGTTATAATTTGAATGCCCTACCACTAAGTTGATCCCACAGGTGCATAAACTTCTGCTTCTGGAATTTAAAATAAAAAACCAAACCGTTTATTAGTGTAATCGTTTTGCTTGACTCGGGCGTTAGAATATTTGTACAAAGCGAAAACGTTTAAGAGCGGCTTAAGAACAATGAGATAATTTCTATAGTGTCACTTTTTTTTGGGACACCCTGTATATATGTTGAATACTTAACAATATATTGAATAAATTGTACAATGTTGAAAACCTAACTGATATCCAAACTATGCTCGTATAATTATCTGGTTTAAAGTACCGTTCTCGGCGCTTAAGCTTCTCTAAAACTTGAGTATAAAGTACGTCGTTTATTCACCATTAAATACCACGGAAACAATGGATTATACAATTACTTTATGGTTTCCGTGTTTGGATGGCCTGATCCAAACACACGGGAATGTTGTTCGAGTTAAGAAAAGCGCGCGAAGGCAAGTGATTTTGCGCGCTTTTCTTAACTCGAACAACATTCCCAAGATATTACATATCTTATTAACCTACTAAATAAAATCTGATATAATTGCAGAATAGGGTGGTTTTCGCGCCCAAACTTGATTTTGATTATTGTTTTTCTTGTACGAGAAGCTACACCTTGTTATACATACAATTACAAGACTAGAGTTCAGGGAGATGTTGAAGAGATAGCGAACACCCGAAGTTGTTTGAAGAAACATGGACGAACAAGTTGCTCCGAGCTTTGAACTCTTTGAACTTAGGCTCAATTAATGTTTATGTCATCACCAATAATGTTGTGGTAATAATCACCTTAAACCTAATTTAACGTTTAAACCTGCAGGCGTATCTGGAAATTGGAGTTTCATTGGATGCTGGAGTTATTTTGAACCTAACTTAATCCCAAATGTGGAATAAATTAGCTTTCGTCTAGGACCTGTATATGAGTTTGTGTGCATTTCATTTAGGACAGGTAATCTCAACTGTTTTAGGGTAAAATGACCATGGCGGTCAACATGGCATATATGCCAAAACCTGCATGAATACGGGGCGAAAGTACTGAAAATGACCCCGCCCTGAAACGGCAGTGTCGACATAGCCCTAACTTTCAAAAGGAAAAGCGATAGCCTTTCTGAAGTGCTTATAGTGTTTAGAACGGTTGCTTATAGGGGTGGTCATTGGAAGGAAAAATTTGTCTAAGTGTAATAGTTTACAAGAAAATGACCATGCACCACCCCAGGTAAATTGCTAATTATGCATTAAATAACTAATATGCCTGGCAGAAATTAAATTTTCTTATTTCCTAAAAAAATTATCATGGGATGAAAAACTATGCTTAATTTAATAGAATTATTGTGGATTTCATAAGGATTGTCATTGTTTTCTTTAAATATAGTACATTTTATTTCACTTACCCCCATGAAAATACGATTTCAACCATATTTTGCCGTCTTATTTGCTTTTTATCGCCGAGTCTAGCAAATATCATCCAGTTGTTGTACTTTTAATTACATAATCATAAATGGCTAAAAATGGTTTCAATCAAGTTTTGAAACAGTGCTGTGTATTTTATCTTCCATATTGTGTCCTTCGATATTTCGTGAAATATGGCGTCCTTACATTGGATCGCCGCTTCTCTGCCCGATAAATCCTATTTCTTCGTCTTCCATGCATGTATTTAGATTACAGTATCCAAGAGTACTTCATTGTAGAATAGTCCCAATCCAAAAATTGAAAACATTATGTTACATTTGAAAGGAAAAAAACCTCCCATAATACTTGTCCTGTCAAAATCGAAAAGAAGTAATAGCGTTGTCCGCAATTGACGTCACGAAAATTCGACCCCCCGCCAAGACTCAGACAAACATTGGCAACATTTAATATAAATAGTATTACGACTAGAAGTTACTATCGCAAGGAAAATGCTGCCTCACCCCCAAGGGATGGCACCATGCGCAATTTGCTGAATAAGGGTCTGTTTATACGATCCCGCTTCGCCAGGACGAGATATGAGGCAGGATGATTTCGATGTATTGAAATG